TCACTCTCACTGCCAGTGAGTCCTTTCTGACAGAGCCATCGACAGACAGAGCACAACTGTTGCCCTGTGGGTTCCAAGGCTGTCCATTTTTACAGGGGCAGAACGCCTCCTCTTTCCCGAGGCCGATGTGTTTGCGTGCTGACCTTGTGGTTAGCAGATAAGTGCACAACCTACCAGGCCACCAGGCTCCCTGCCACTCTGATTAACAAACAAACAGACAAACTCACTGCCATTGAGTGAGTTCTGATTCATAGCAGCCCTATAGGACAGAGTAGAACTGCCCCTGTGAGTTTTTGAGACTAACATTTTTTTTTTTGCCATGCAACATTATTGATGTCATTTCTAATTTTATTTGGTCTTTCCATCAATTACCACATATTTCTGGCTTTTACAGGAAAGTGCCAATGTAAAATATTCAAAGGTCTATAATGTTTTATTAAAAACTTTACTTGAGGACTATTTTCTCAAAACTAACCTTATGCAACACCCTGATATAGGAACCAAAAGCCAACTCTTTCTCCCAAGAGGTTGCTAGTGGGTTTGAACTGCTGACCTTGTGGTTAGCAGCCCAATGCATTGTCATTACCCCCCCAGGGATCTTGGCGACTCTGACATTAGAGGGTTAATTTCTAAAGTGTCTCTGACCTACAAAGAAGAACGCGGCAGAGGTAGTGAACAGGGGAGAGTCCAGGCCAGGGAGACGCATATCCCAGGGATCAGCTCCCCTCTCTGAGACGTCAGAGTTTGGGGGGACCCAGAGTCCTGCTCCACTGCCACATCACAGAGGTCAAAACTGGGACATTTCTAAAATTTCAGGGGCTGTGGGAGAAGCAAGGATTGATTGCCTTTTAGGCATATTGTTTTCTCTGAGAGAAATGACCTCAAAACGGACCTTCATTGAATTTAGGTTTGGATGGAGTAAAAGGGCCAGCGAGAAGCCAGGGTCAACAGTCTTTTTGTGTCTTTTGGGGCAATGTCTTGTTTTCTGATGGCAGGTGGTGCGTCCCTTGTGGCTTTCCCATAGTTCTGAAGCATCAGGGCATTCTCTGGGGCACCAGGGGCAGGGCTGGGGGTCCCTCTCCCCATCTAGTGGTGCATCTAAGAAGCAGGTCAACCTGAGCAAGGGAAGGCACAGAGCCCTGGGCTTGCAATCAGCACAAAGAGCCAATTCAACAGCCCACAAAGCTCATCCTCTATAATCGTCCTAATGAGGAACATTAGACTGAAGGAAGAGAAATCGTCCACACAGGCTCTAGCATGAGCTCATTGGAAATAGAGTTGCTTGTTTTGTCACCCTGAGGCTATAGACACACGTCTCGAAAACATAATGTGCATGTATTTTAAAGGTTGAGATTGTCAGACACTCTTCGAAAGTGTGGCAGTAGCAATATGGTAGGCAAAACATCCCCAGTCAGGGCTCTCATTCCATTTTCCCGCCGCCCCTGTTGTCTTGCCTTGGTGAGGGTTCGGATTCAGTTCATAGCTTAATAGCTCGGGAAAATAATTTACAACCTGTTCTTTCTTCTTCGTTCTCATATACTCTTGAAATCCAAACATCTCTCCATCTGTTTCTGGTCCCTCTCCAGCGGGCAAAGCTGGATGGCGTCTCCCTTGCTTAACGGAGCAGAAATGAGCAGGCATTTCTGTTTACCAGGGACACCGGGCCTGGTGAAACTGTCACGCCAGCATCTTGCTGAGCATCTACATTAATATGCTTACCTGCTGCTAGGGGAGCCTGAGAGGACAGACACAGAGAAAAAATCCAGCATCTCACCGATACGTCACCATCAGCACTCGACCGCTTCTCATTTAGAGCAAGATTTTTTTTTCCCCTTTCTCTCTAAGGAGCATTCTAGTTGTACTTCTTCCAAGATAGGGTTGTTGGTTCTTTTGGCATTTCATGGTACTTTCAATATCTTCGCCCAAACCGTAACTCAAATGCATGGATTCTCCTCCAGTCTTCATTGTGCAACGTCCAACTTCCGCCTGCATGCGAGGCAGTCGAAAATACCGTGGCATGGGTCAGGTGCCCCTTAGTCCTTAAAGTCTTTTCCACACGTTTAAGAGGTCTTGTGCTGCAGATTTACCCAATGCAGTGTGTCATTTGATCTCTTGACTGCTGCTTCCATAAGTGTTGATTGTGGATCTAAACAAGGTGAACTTTTGGACAGCATCAATCTTGTCTCCATCTTGGGCCAGTAGTGAGGAGGTTGGTTTTCTTTGCACTGCATTGTAACCCACACTGAAGGCTGCCATCCTGGATCCTCATTAGCAGGCGCTTTAAGGCCTCTGCACTTTGAGCGAGCAAGATTGTATCATCTGCATAATCACAGGATCATGGCAAACTATCTACTCTCTTGAGAAGAATGGGGTTTCAAAAACATTCATTGTGCTCAAGCGGAACTTGTGCACAGATTCAGAGACAGGTGTGTGAGCATCACAAGGGACCCGGAGAAGAATGCATCACCGGGATGGGAGGAAGGCTTGTTAACAACCCAAGATGAGCAAAGGACACCACCCGGCTTGCTGCCTGGTTTGCTCATGAGGAATTCCCCATGGCTGCTTTGGGAGATGCCCTAGGAATTTCCACCAAGTCCTGAACTATTAGGACAACCTCTCATGCCTCTCACTTCATTTCTGCCTCTCTGGTCCTCTTCTCTGGGCACAGAAGAAGCCACTGCCCTAGAGCTGACTCCAACCCACAGGGACTCCTCAGGCTATGCAGGTGAACTTATGGAAGCAGCTTGCCAGGCCTAACTTCACTGAGCCACTGGGTGGGCTCAAACCACCAAACTTCAGGTTCTCAGCTAATGGCAAACCACTTGGGCCATCCAGAGCCTTTGGCATCATGCTGGCTGGCAGATACTTGCATTGCCTGGGTTTAAATCCTGACTCCGCATGTGTGATCCTCAGGCCAGATCCTGAACCTCTTGGAGCCCTTTTCCTCTTCTGCAAGATTCAGGGAAGGGAGCTCTGTTGGTGTCATGGATCAAGCATTGGGTTGCTAACGGAAGAATCAGCTGTTTGAATCCACCACTTGCTCTAAAGAGGTGTTTAGCAGCTGGGAGGTTACTTGTGTCTCTAATGGTCACCGCAAGTGAGGTCTGTTGACCATCTACATGGAGCCCCAAGGTCCTCCATTGTGACAGTGTCACTGTGGACCAGCCACCAAGAACAGCTAGGAGGTCACGAGACCATGACAAGAGCGGACATCATTTGCCAGATGTACCCTGCACTTGGCCCTTCACAGACAGTATGTCACTAAATTCTCATAATAAGACCATGAGAAGGGGACTAGCATAGTTCTCCCCCTAAACCCCACACCCACTGCTGTCGCATTGACCCTGACCCTCAGTGATTCTGTCTCACTGTTCATCAGGTTTCCTGTGCTGGCACTCTTTATTGAAGCAGACTGCCATATCAGGGCTGTAGAGGGCCCAGGGTGCAATTTTATTGCTCAATGCCACCCCTGCCCCGCTGGGCTTTGCTCCCTCTTTCTCCAAATGAAAGTCTTTTCCTGGGGATTGAGACGAAAAGACCCTGGAAAGGTGCCTGGCAGTGCACATGGCTTACTTTTGGCTTTAACCAAAGGGTTGGCCGTTCAAACCCACCTAGAAGCACCCAGGAGGAAGTGACCCTGGTGATTGATTTTTTTTAAAAGAAAACCCCATGGAGCAGTTCAAGTGCCAAACACAGGAGGCTCCTAAGTCCCACATCAACCATCACAATACATTGAAGATCCCTTCATGCTGTCGGGTCAGTGTAGACGAGGATTAAATCACGCCCACTAGGGGGCAAACGGACCACTGCAACCTGCCTTATCAGACCCGCTCCCGGGAAGGTCATGAGGAAGGAATAGCTCAGAAAAGGAGGGCGAGAATGGCGGCACAATTCAAAGAATGCCACCACCGTAACCAAATTGTACACGTAGACACCGCTGACTGGGTTTGGGTTTTACCGTGTAAATAAAATGTGCAGAAATAACAGACCATTGAGTTTGCCGTAAAGGCCACAGATTCCCTTTGGGTAGCTCCTCGAATCAGTGAGCTCTCCAGGGTATTTTGTTGAGGGACGAAGGCCCACCGTCACCTCCTATCCTTGAATCTATGTGGAAACTTTCCATTTTCAGCTTCTGTTTCATTCAGGAGGAGCCCTGGTGGCATGCAGGTTATGAAGTGGGCAAGCAGTTCGAAACCATCAGCTATTCAGCGGGAGTAAGATGAGGCTTTTTAATACCCTTAAAAAAACGGACCCTCTCGGAAACGCACAGGGACACTTCCCCGTCCTATAGGGTCAGAGTGCACTTGATAACAGTGAGTGAGCTTAATTTAACACTGAAAATTTACTAAGTTCATCAAAGAAGCTAAAGTAGTTGCCACATAACTACAAAGGAGTGGTCTTGGAGTCCCTTAATTTGCCCTGCTAAAGGTCTTCCTGTGCACGTAGTGTGTGTTTCCCCAAATGAACGGCACCTTCTTTGGGTCTCCCTCCTCCTCCGCTCTGGAAGCCTAGCGCAGCTCTGCTGCTGATTAACTTGCAAAGAGTAGGAAACGGACTCCTTAGGTAAAGAGGAACAATGGAGCAGCTCCGAACTTAAAGCAGCAAGTCCAAATGCTGTCCATTGGCATGCACACTCACAGCACACAGACAAGTTCCGTTCCTTTGTGCTGTCCTGAAGTGTGTGCCAGGTCTTAGGTCACGCTGGCCGGAATTGTGCAGCTCTGTAATGAAAGGCCCTATTGTGGTGACTGGTCAGCAAGGCAAAGCAGAGGTCACCACGTGCCTCAAGACCTGGAACACCCTGATGTGTTACGTGCTGAGAAGTGTGTGCTTAGTATTGGAGTGAAGTAAGCGGGGGCAAGGGGAGTTCTTTTAAAACTACCCCAACGCAAAACAAAATAGACTCTTATCTGCTAGGTGTCCAGCAAAAGCTTTAAAAATTACCCGAGAAATGGGCTTATTTTAATTGTTTCCTTCCTTCTCCTTCCTTTTCCTGTCAGTTGTCCTTCTCTCCAAAAACTTCCTCTCAGAGTGACCCTCGGGAATGCCTTCCTGCTGTGTGAATGAGCAAGCAAAGAAGACTGCTCTAAGTGATCAGAAAACGATTCAACAGGCCTGGAAAGCTTCTGAGACTGGATTCCAGTTGGGTTTGGAGTGGCTCTTGAGGCCAAACAAGGTAGGGAGCTGAACCTACAGAAAAATGCACAGTCATTAGGAGCCGGAGATTTAACACTGAAGCACATCATCTTTCAGAGATGGGCATCTGAGTGCAAAACCAAGATCCTAGCCTGCCTGGGTGACCCAGTGCATCTGCGTGGGTCCCAGTGTCCTTGTCCATAGAGGGATGCGTTGTCCTGGGTGAGCCTGGGTGAATCTGCGTGGGTCCTAGTGTCCTTGTCCTTAGAGGGATGCGTTGTCTCAGATGCTCTTTCTTGGGACTTGAGCTCAGATTCCATCTGTGCTGTGTCGTGTCTCCACCTTGTGTGAGATTCTATAATTCCCTTGGATTTTTCTTGGGGACCAGTGAGTAGAAGACATACAGGAAATGGAAGGCTCTGTGTTATCCGTGCGGGGATGGAGGGAAGGTGCTAGAATCACTGAAGGCATGGAAGAGGGCAAATAGTGAAATAGGGAAGATAGAGGGAGCCACAGAGCAATGCATTCTGCTTCCTCTCCTATGGAAAAAAGTCATGAGTTGAAGGGCCCCCCCAGCCCCCGCCAGCTGTTTCTTTCCCCTGGGGCTCACGGTCTTCAAAACAACTGTTAGACAAAGTAATGTGACCAAGTTCTGGGTCTACCACAAATTCAGGCAAGATCCCTTTGCTCCCTCGGTTACTTCACTGTCAAATAGAAATTCTGGACCTAGATGATCTCCAACGTCCTAAAACGCAGTTCCGTAACTCCAGGTTTTGAAACAAGCAGAGAACCAGGCAAAATACTTGAATTCATGGTTTCTAGTTACTGGACTGCCGGCAGTCCAGGAGAGTGGCTCCTGAAGAGGAGGAACAAATGATTGCCCCCAGCTAACTGCCTGGAGAGGATGCCCAGGCCACAGTGCAGGGAGGGCCATCCAAGTGGAGCTTGGTGGTGTCTCTGTGTAGCCAAGAGAGAACCGGAGCTCCAGAGAGATCAAAGCAGCCAGAATCCACAGGCAAGAATCCTGGAGAAAGCAACACGCACAGATAGGTCATTCTGATCTATACCCATCCTTTTTAGCCAGTGATGGAATTCGAAGAACTAACAACCAGTTCAGTTTATTATTTCATACAGTTAATACTTACATAAGAACAATATCAGAGGTACACAAACTAGATGATGTTATAAGAGAGTTTTGAAATATTAATGAAAGCATATTAAATAACACCTGACAAAAAGCAATAACATTTTTGTTTAAGCTATTTCCATATTGCTTCTTGACTGGTGTCCTCACTGGCAATATTCTTCACTTTAATCTGAGCATCATGAGCTGTGGGATTTATCCTTAATCCTCTTTTCACTATAGGAGAAGGATCCCATTCCTTCAGAGGTAGGCTAATTAGACAATGGCCATTGTGTTTGATATATTAGAAACAGGTGACTTCTTTTCTCTGAACAGATTGTGCTCATCTTTGAGAAACCCATTTTTGCTTTTGCTGAACTTACAGCAAGTGTTCTGACAATATCTTTAGTTCTTTGGACATACTCGGGAATGCATAATCCACTCATTCTATCTCATGGGAGTCTGGGACATCGCACAAAGCTGAAATGAATGATAGTGTGTCACCCTCTGGTTGTATGGCACTTTTTCTCTTCATGTTCTATGGTTGTTTGCTGAAGTAACAAATGAAATGGAATACAAATGTAGCATTTCCTCAAAAGTATAATGATTAAGTAAATATTCAAGCATAGTTCTGTCTAATTTTTAATGACCATGGATGGAATGAGCATTACTATGGGTGCTTACAATATGCCTTTGTGCAGATGAATGTTAAAAAAAAGCAGTAAGGCATGCCACTGGGAAGTTAGGAATTGACCTATGATGCCATTAAGGGAACTGCTCTCCATTCGAGAAGGAAGATTCAAGAAGAAAGTAAAAAAAAAAAAATACATGTTTTATGTCTTTAAAACAAAACAAATGTTTTCTTACCCCCAAAGGGCACAATTACCTCTGTGAAGAGGCTTTTCTACTCTGTGATCTAGTTCCCAGTGGTGCGTGAGATGCTAATGAGCAAGGGAGAGGCTCCAGGCCAGGGTACCATCACTGTCAGATCCCTGGCACACCTGGTCCCTGGGCCAAAGCCTTTCCTCTGAAATGGGGTTCAGGAAATGGCCTGTCTTCCTTGGGAGGAAAAAGGAGTGAGCAGCCGGGTTCAGCCAGCAAAGGGTCACATGCCCCGTGTCCCTTTTATGTGGAGGGATGGTTTTCTGAACCGAAGTTCAGCTCTAGGCCTCTGGTCTCTGGACCCAGCAGCTGTGTTTCCGGCTGGTCCCAAGCGGAAGGCCACAGGTGGTGCCTCAGCCTTAGCTGTGCACTGGGGAAGGCAGCCCTCCTGGGAGGGGCCCTTGGGAACGCCTCTTAGCGCTGTGCTGTGCACCTGCTGAAGCCTTGGCACTTGTTCATTTTATTGGTGTTTCCCTCAACAAGCAAAAAATATTTAGAGAATAAATTAATATATATATATATATATGAAAAAGAAAAACCCAAACTCCTCTGGGACAGGGTAGAACTGCCTTTGTGAGATGCTGAGACGTACTCTTTAGAACACACAGATGAGAAAATAATGAATAAAACCATCCACAGTCTCAGCGCCAAACAGCCACTGTTATTGCCATTTTTCCCTTTATCATTTTATTGGGAGCTCTAACAGATATTATAATGATCAATAATTCAATTAGATCAAGAATCATTGTACAATTGCTGCCTCCATCAGTTTCAAAACATTTTCTTTCTTCTTGAACTCTTTGATATCAGCTCCCCTTTATCAACCCTCCTTCCCCCACCCTACTACCCCCAGGCCTGTTATTGTCAACTTTGTGCATTTCCTCTTGGGCTGAACGTGTGGACACATATGTCTACAAACACCATGGATTCATAGGGCATCCCCATATTAACAGGTACATATTGTTGGCAGCATTCGGTTACTTTAAATTGAGTGCAGTGAACACCTTTGGGCGCACCCTTTATCGTTTCCTTAGAACAAATGGCAAGCAGGATGAAGTTCTGGGGGCTTGCACCTTGAATGGCAGGAATGTGCTCTGATGGAGAAGGACATGGAGGGAGATTAGAAGGAGCTGGACATCAGAGACGGCCGACGGCTCCTCTCCGTTTCCTCCTCCTGTTTGCACATTTCATCTCCTTCCCTCTCTAGTTTCCTCTTTTTCTCCTCTTTACCCTGTAATTTCTGAATCCTTTCCTTTTCTATTTCAACCCTGGACTTTTTTCTACTCTACTCAAATCCCTTTATGATTGGGGGCTGAACCCCCTCTTCTCTCCCTGGCTCAGCTTGGCTGTCCTTGCACCACACCCCCTGTGGTGACTACAGGGCGGCCACCGCTGCAGCCTCTCAGATTATGTCCTGCAAGGAAAGAAACCCTAGGCAAACTCACTGCCATCAGTTGAGGTGATTCTGACTCTCAGCCACCCTTTAGAACAGGGTAACACTGCCACCCTTTCTGGCCGGAGGGGGTCTTGTCTCTCTCCAGCCCAAATCGGAACCGCTAAGCCCCTCGGGCTCTTGGTTGGGTGAGAACAGCCACGCAGGTCCATGTCAAGTGTGCCCTCCGAGCCTCAGAGCTGAAGGGGAGACATTCTCTAATACTATGCTAACTTTTCCTTTCCCCCCCTTCAAATACAAATCTATCGTGTATCTAATAAGCACAAAAAGGAATCTTAATGGAGAACAACTTGGTCTTTCTTTTCACCCAAAGTACATGGTGGGAAATCATTTCAGTCTATCGAGGCCCTTTGCCTAGGACTGCTGTAAAGGATTTGTACGACTCCGCAAGGTTCTCTCAATACTCCTGCCTGACAGATGAGGAAACAGTGGTTTCCGGAGGTTGCATACTCAGCCCAGAACGACCCAACCAGCAACTCCCTGTGTGATTTGAAGACAGGCCACCAAGACTGGACTGTCTTTCTCGATGAAGGAAACGCAATGTTCCCTAAACTCGGGTCCAGGTGACTTTGGGAGGCCTTTCCGTGCTCAAAGTGCTTCTACGGCTCCAGAAGCTGCAGTTTCAGCTGCCTTGTGAACGTCTCAAGTGGCCCAGGGACAGAAATAACATGAGATGAGGACAGGAGGGGCTGCGACGTAGATGTTGTCAAGTCAGATCTGCTCCTTGGGTCTTCTCCAGTGAATTTAATGACACTGCCCTGCGCTTTCCCACAGACATCCACCCCCTCTGGTGGGACTGGGCTGCCCAGGGGTGGGAGCCTCTCACAAGGATTCGGATGCCATCTCCTGAGTAGGTCAAGCACGTGGACACCAAAATGCATGATCAGTAAGTGCCCAGCAAAAGCCCCTTCCGGCCTATCCATGAGTTCTTTCTGTGAGACGAGCTCTTCCTTTCAGTGATTATGTCACGGCTCTCAGCACTGCTTGATCTCCTGGAAATTCCACCCACAGGATTCTGAGTCTGAAGCGATCATCCGATCCGTCACTGGAGCTCTGATCTGAGGAGCAGACCATGTGACACTCCCCTCCCGTCAGTGAGTCACTGAGCACCAATGTGAGTTCTCAGAAGGTGAGGCTTCCCATCCAAGCTGGTGAATTCCAAGAGCAAACAAAACCCTGCTTGTCACCCTGTCGATAAGAATAATTTAAGAGGCATTTTCTGTTGGGTACAGGAAATGAGGAGATGCGCAACTCCATGGGTTTTGGCAGTCTTCTCATGATTCAGTCTCTCTTACTGTTTTTTTTTTAAACTCATATTTTAACAGAAAGAAAAGAGGTCTTTCACAACACTCGGAAGCTCGTCATTTGAGTGGGCACAGGTAAGAGGAGATGTGTGGGTCAGGCATCAAGGACAGACCGTCCATCTCTTCAGTTGGGAGCAGAGGGTACAGAGTGTGGAGGAGCGCAGGCCAAGGCCCTCCCATGGCAGGCCCTGCCTGTTCAGGTGAAGAGTTCACCCTTCCACCTCAAAGAGTGCGGGGCTCACGAAGACTGCCGATGATGTGGATCAGAAGTGTGTTTG